TCCCCAGAATGGTGCCCCCAACTGCTGGCCCACGGTTGCAGCATCCTTTGCCCCTAGGACTGGGGTAGGGTGCGGGGTGCTTTCTCTGTCCCCTCCGGGTCTAACCACCTCTCTGGGAGGGGGGAGCTGCTGTCTGCTGAGCAACGCCCACGTACTGAGTGTGCGCCCTACTCCAGCACTGTGCTGAGCGAGGACTCGATATCTGTTTTCTCTTGTAATCCTCATTCCTGTGAGTAAGGGGTGGGATTCCCGTCCGACAGACAGGAACACCGGGACACGGGAACAGCTAAGTAGCCCCGCTGGGCAGCTCAGCCACTGAGCTGAGTCCGTGTGACTCGGAATCCCCCCGTGGGAGTTCTAACAGCTTAGTGTGCTCAGAGCCTGGGGAGAGGGACGGGCTCAGGATTCTCTCTCTCTCTCTCACACACACACACACACACACACGCGCGCGCGCGCACACACGATCCTGGACGGACCTTTATCTCGCTCCCTCGGTGCCTGTTCAGCTCTAGACCTCTTGATAGTCTTTATCGCAGACTGAGGAGTGGCTAGAGCTTGGGTGGGAGGAGGAAGAGGCAGGCCAGTCTTGTTAAAGAGCTCTGACCTGTTTTTATACACTAGTCGAAGTTAGAGATGGAGAGGATTCTTTGATTCTCATTAACTTATCGGGTGCCATGTGTCAGCGGGTCAGCCCGAGTCCCCAGAGCCAGAGTCCGGGGGCATGCCCAACCTTGGGAGGATGAGTGTCTCCCCCAGGACTCCCTCCTCTGTCCCGAACGCTTGGGGTGGTTGGCCTTGGAATGCAGGCAGCTGGGCCCTGCCCTTCGGTCCCCTCCAGAGGCAATGAGCCTGGCACCTGTGTGTAACCCACTCGCGTCTGCAGATCCGGTAGCGCCCAACAGGCACTCAGGATTACGCACCATGGCTCAGTGGCTGGGACCGGGGTAAGGCCTGTTCTCCGCCTGGTCCAAGTGCTCCGTGCAGCTGGGCAGAGTCCAGGGCCTGAAGCCGCTGCTGCTCTGAGCGTTGCTCGAGGCCAGGCACCGCCGTGGGTGCATCTGCGGGGGCGGTGCTGGCAGCCAGGGCCTGCAGCCAGGGCGAGTCCTGTGGAGCTCCGCAGCTGCGTCACTCTCCGGTCGCACCTTCAAATGATAGTGTGCCGCAGGCATGGGCCGGAGGCTTGGCACCCAGCCCGCCTCTTGCTCCTCCTTGGACTCTGCTCTGGTCCTCCAGCTCAGCCCAGCTTCCCGGTATTGAATCCTACCCTGGGCCTGGGAGTGGGGGCGGGGGGGCGCTGGGCTGCCGGGGCTTCCTTAGCCCGAAATTCCGTGATTGCGCGAGGTTACCTTCGGTTACTCCCGGCGGCAGGGAGCCGGTGGGCCAATAGCGCCCTCTGGCGGGAAGCAGCGGAAGGTCTACACCCCTTCGCCGCCAGGGTGTAGCTGAGTGGCTTTTGGCTGGCTGGAGACTTGGCACGCGGGGTCCTTGCCCCTCTTGGCCCCCAGTTCGGAGAGGAGAACCTCTCTCTCCACACAGACGTTGGAAGGGAAGTGCCAGGGCCTTCTTCACGTGGCCCAGAGAGGCAAAAAGTTTTCAGAATCTAGGTGGTTTCCTCCAGAAAGGGGCTGGGAGGCCCCAGGGAGAGCTTCCTTCCGGAGCTGGACTGGGGGCATTCCGGGTGGCTCTGGCTTGCTGGGAGGGTCCCCGGCCTGGGGAGACGCTGAGGAGGTTGGCGGCCTTCCCTAGCCCGAAGAGTGAGCCCTGCCTGCTTTCGTTACCACACCTGTGTTCCCCTCGGCCCCCTTTTCTGGACGCCTTCTTTGGGGTCTGGGTTGGGGGAACCTCTGAGCCTACCGCTAGGGTATTTAGGGGGTGGGTTCAGGCAGCGGCTGTAACTGAGAACCGGGGGCCCTCTCCCTCCGGGGCGCTGCCTGCAGGCGGACTCCTCTCTGCGGTCCTCCCTCCGCCACCTCTGTTGACTCAAGCAGAGGAGTTGGCTGAACTTGGAAGGAAACTTTGACCTGTGACCCCCGTACAGCCGCCGCGGGGGGGGGGAGATGGCAGGCCCCCGCACCCAGAGGAGTGCACTGCGGTGGTCAGAGTGTGCTCCGCGGCTGCCTCCTGTGTTCCCAGCTCTCTCCCCCAAGGTTTTATAGAGGGTTTGGGGGGACAGTGACGCCACACCCCGTCTACTCTCTGAGCACAGACGAAGGGTGGTGCGAGAGAAGGAAGCCACACCGCAGACCCTGTGACTGCGTGGCCTCCCTGGGGTTCCTCGCGCCCATTCAGAAGTTTGGAAAACGATGTGCCTTTTCCCCGACGTCCACACGTATTTCCCTGTCAGTGTTTCTATATTAGTTCGCCATTCTCTGTAAGGCCGCCCTGTCCGTGCCTTGCCCGCACCCTACCCGTCGACGTCGTAGGAGAACTCAGTGCTTTGCATCCTACCCTCATCTGTTGGAAGGAAGGTTATTTTTCTGAATTCCACAAAGCCAATGAGAGCTGGTGTCGGCACTCCCTGTGTGTGCTGGAGCCTCTGTCCCGTGTAAGCCGCACCAGCTGACTGGGGAGACTGAGGCTCAGGGAAGCTGCGTGATTTAGCTACGTGATTTTGCTGCGTGGCCACGGATGATGGAGAGAGCAGCCGGGGCTGGAACTCAGCTCTGGGTCAACTCCAGAACTTCAGCTCTTTTGTCTCTGCACGCCAGGACTCTGCCCTCAGACCACCAGGTGTATCCGTGTTGGAAGGGCCCGTTGAAATCATAAACCAGAATCCAGCCCATAAACCAATAAGCCCACCTGAGAGCCGTGTCACCGCTTCCGTGAGGGACGCGGGAAGGTGTTACACGCAGAGGGCCTGGCGTCCCTGGCTCAGACGGTCTGACGGGGAAGGTTGACCCTCTGTCTTCTGTTGAGTGTTTGGGGCCCAAGAAACCCAAGTTCTTGTCCAAGCTGTGTCACTTCAACTCGCTTTGGCCGCTGAGCCTCAGCCTTACCATCCGAACTAGTGTCGTTGAGAGAGAGGTAACCGGGCAGAGCTCCTGGCATGTGGTGAGGGCTCAAGCACGGCCGCTGCCCCGGCCACCACCCCCTTAGGTTGCGCTGGTTGCCCGCTCTGGGGAGCCCTGCGGGGGTTCCCGTCTGACTCCGCCCATGAGGAAGAAAGAGAAGCCCCACCCTTGCTGGGCTGGGCCAGAGAAAATAGGGACTCTCTCTGCGTGAAGCCAGGCTGGCAGGTGTGGCAGTGGAGAGGCCACTGGGTTTGGCCCCGGACGCTGGTTCCTTTTCTGCTGTTACCTAGACACCGACTCAGCCTAGTTCCGCTTTGCCAGAGGGAGGAAGTCAGATCTCTTCCAAAGGACCTGGAGTGGGAGGAGGCTGCCGGACTGACCTTCCTCGGGAGTCAGGAGATCGGGGCTGGGCTGCGGGGCCTGGGATCCGGGGCCTGGGAGCAGGCTTCCCCTCTGAGCTACTGGGTAGGAGCCAGCGGTAGGTGTGGCCGGCCTGGGGGGAAGGAGACCCAGGCAGGCAGCCGGGAGGAGGGGGCGGCCTTCAGACCAGGGCCCAGTGAGGGCCCTGCTTCCCTGTCACTGTCTTAAAGCCAGGGTGGGGTGGGGGCCGGGGCCGCAAGGAGGGATCCGGCTGGCAGCCCTGACAGCGTGGGCCCCGTCCTTTGGGAGGTTGTACCCCTTAACTATGGCATCACCTGGTGCTCACAGCAGCCTCTCCAAGGCCAGATTTTTGGGCTTCGGGGCTTCTGAGGAGTCAGGCTGTCCAGTCGGTCACTGGCCTTGTGATCCGGGGCGAGTCCCACCACATCGCTTGCTTTCCCCATCTGTGAAGGAAGGGTCAGAATTCCACCTTGTGGGGCAGTAGAAGGATCAGGAATGCGAAAGTGCCCAACGCTGCCTGCCACTAGTGCCCATCAGTAGGAAATGGCAGTAAGTGCAGCCACTGCTTTCTCATGTTCTTATCCCAAGGGCCAGGGACTGAGTCCCCAGTAGGTCACCAGAGAGGTGAGTGAGTGAGCAAGCCCCTGAGCGTGGCAGGAATGCAGGTGTGGCGTGGGGCCAGGCTCTCTGGTTGTGGGGCTGGTGGAGGTCCAGGGAGGGAGCGGTGAGGGGAGGGGTGAGGAGAGAGGAGGTCCGCAGTTGCTACCCCTGCCCCTCCTGCTGTGCCCTTCTTGTCTGGAGGCTGGATTCCAGCGCCCCTCCGGTGTCCGCCCCGTGCCAGAGCAACAGAAGCCAGCACCCGAGGGCCGATTCAGCTCCTTTGCTGCTGGTAAAAGCAGAATAGGGGGGCCCTGGAGCCTCTGGGGCCGGGCTGCTTGCCAGGCTTCCACAGAAACAGCCTACCGAGCAGTCTTGCCACTGCAGGGGCCCCCCCCCCCCACCCCCCTACTGCACTCCACCCTGGCTGGTCCAGGGAGGTAGGGAACACTGCACCAGCCTAGTCCCAGCCCCCAGCTCCCCACACACCTCAAGGAGCCCGGAGCCTGGGGTTCTGCTTCTAGGTGGCCGAGAAGGCAGGTACCACCCCAGGGGCTCCCCCACTGTGGAAGCTGAGAAAGCTTAGGCCCTTGGAAATGGAGTGAGACCTGGCCCTGCCCGGCCCCTCCCAGTGACGTGGGGCCCCTCCCACCCGTTCTCCCCGCCTGGCCCTGAGTGCCACGGGCAGGCATTTCTGACTCGCAGCCAGCCAGCTGCATGGCCCTGTCCCTCTCCGGAGGGAACGCAGGTACCTGACTCCCAGAGGTAGGAGAGCCTCAAGGCCAGCTCCAGGAAACCCCCAGAGCACCCTCAGTTCGGGTCGGGGTGAAGAGAGCCGCTTTTTTGGGAGCTGGTTCTTAGCCGGGCTGGGCCGGGCTGGTGTCTCCCTGACCCGAGGCTAGTCATTTCTCCCATGGGCGGGGCAGGGGCAGGCAGGGAGGCCGTGGCCCTCGGGGAGTTAGTTCCCGGGGTCCCTGCTTCTTACCCACTCCCTGGGCCCTTTCTCCGCAGACGCCCTGCTGGAGGACTTGGAGTCCACCACCTCCCACATCTCCAAGCGGCCCGTGTTCTTGTCTGAGGAGACCCCCTACTCCTACCCAACTGGAAACCACACGTACCAGGAGATTGCCGTGCCGCCCCCCGTCCCTCCCCCACCGTCCAGCGAGGCCCTCAACGGTGCGCTCCTTGACCCCTTAGACCAGTGGCAGCCCAGCGCCTCCCGGTTCATCCACCAGCAGGTAGGTGGGGGCGAGAGGCCGAAGCTCCCAGAGGCCTTTGCGGCTGAAGGAGCTGATCTGGCTGCGGCGTGGGGAGCCAGGGGAATAGCGGGCTCAGGGGAAGGAAGGGGAGAAGGCCAGGGGACCTCTGGCCCTCCCCACCAGACGCCACGGGGGGGGGGGCAGTGACCGAGCGTTAATCACCTGCCTCCAGTCAGTGTTGGAAACTCCCTGGTGAGACTGCCTGGGAGCAAGCAGCCTTCTGGGGGTGCCCCGGCAGGCTCTGAGCACGCTCCCTCCTGCAGCCTCAGTCCCCGCCGCCTGTGTCCGGCTCCGGTGCCAAAACGTCCAGCGCCTGCATCCCCCAGGACGGCGCCGGCCCTCCGTGTCCCCGCACCGGCGAGGAGGAACACGTCTACAGGTACTGCCCCGGCCCCTGCCCTCGTGCCTCCTCCTGCTCGGGAAGCCTGGGGCCTGGCCAGGGCTCAGGCATGGCCGCCGTCCTGAGGAGGTTTTGCCTCCCTGGTCCCTGGACGGAACCACAGACGTCCCCGAGGCTCCTGGTGAGCCCATAGTGCCCCTCGACTGGCTGGAGGCCCTGTCGCTGTCCCCCACCCCACCCCCCGCCGCCTTTTCCATGCACACACACCAGCTGTTACGTCACCCCGGGCAGTGGGGCAGTTGAGGCAAGACTTCCTTCCTCCCCTCTCCTCACCACATCCCTTCCCCACTCTCAGCCCTCTTGCCGCGGAGACGCCATGTCTCCTCCGCCTTGCCCTCCTGGAGACTTTGGGGGGCGCCCGAGCTGGGGAGCATATCTCAGCGTGATCTCCCCTTTGTCTCTCAAAGCTTCCCCAACAAGCAGAAGTCGGCCGAGCCTTCGCCTACCATGATGAGCTCCTCCCTGGGCAGCAACCTCTCTGAACTTGACCGCCTGCTGCTGGAGCTGAACGCCGTGCAGCACAACCCGCCGGGCTTCCCCACAGGTGGGGCCGGGTCTCCGGGGCGGGGCCTGCCCGCTCCCCAGAGGAGGGCTCCCCCGGAGGGCTCGGGGTTGAGTGTCTTTCTCTCTCCCCCTCCCAAGACGAGGCCAACTCCAGCCCCCCGCTGCCCGGGGCCCTCAGCCCCCACTACGGCGTCCCCGAGAATAACAGCCTGCTGGGCATCAAAGCCGGGGCCCCGATGAAAGAGAAGCCGAAGCGGAACGGGGGCCGCGGCCTAGAGGACGTGCGGCCCAGCGTGGAGAGTCTCCTGGACGAGCTGGAGAGCTCGGTGCCCAGCCCCGTGTGAGTGCCCCCCGGGCGCGCCCCTGCTCCGGGGTCCGCCCGCTCGGCCCCCCGAGTCACCCCTTCTCCCCTCCGCGAGGGCCTGTCGTCTCCCGGGCCCCGCCCCAGGCACCCGGGGAGGGCGGTGGTGTGAGTCACGCAGCGATGAGACACCGCTCCCGCCCTCCGCCTGCCACCACCCGCCAGAAGAGAGCCGCCGTGCCTGCCGAGGGCGCCTGTAGCTTGGTGGCCGTCAGCACAGATTTAGGGGCCACACAGCGGGGTCCCAGACCTTGGCTCTGCCCTTGTTAAGTGCCTCTCTCAAGTCTCAGTTTTTCGATCTGTAGAATGGGGTCAGGGGCGTGGGACCGCGGGGATGAGGCCGCCGGCCTCAGTAGGGTGAGACGCAGCCCCGCATTCTGGCTCGTAGCAGGTGAGGTGGCCGGCGAGTGCTGTCTGAGCGTTGGCTCTTCTCAGTGTGACCTTGTCGTCAGGGCGATCTCAGTGCGCACAGGGTGCTCGGGCTCATTTAACCGGCACGCTTGAACTTGAGCGTCTACCTGCGAACGTTGTCCTTTGAGCAGCCCTCTCTTCTCCCGTGCCGGCTCACCTTTGGACCCTTCCCCTGGCTGACCGCAACCCCCTCTCTCCCCGAAGAGACCAGGAGCTGCCAGGCCTCCCTGGGGTGGGGGGTCGGGGGGGCGGGATCCCAGTGTCGGAGCTGACGTGCTGCTCTCCGGAGGCTCGGGGAGGGCCGCGCTGGGGGAGCACGGGGCTGGACTCTGGGATCCCTGCTGATGTCATGCCCCCCGCCCCCCCCCCACTGCAGCCCCGCCATCACTGTGAACCAGGGCGAGATGAGCAGCCCGCAGCGGGTCACCCCCAGCCAGCAGCAGACGCGCATCTCGGCCTCCTCTGCCACCAGGGAGCTGGATGAGCTGATGGCCTCCCTGTCGGATTTCAAGGTGCCCCGAGGCTCCTCCTCCTTCCTGCCCCGTGTCTCCCCCGTCCTCCTCCTCCCACACCTCAGTGTGAGGAGCTGGCACGCAGCCCCTGGGCTTGGGTGTCTTGCCCTGAGCTGGGGACCCCGCCGTGCCCCGGCCTTGCCAGGGAATGGGGGGGGGGGCCGGGCCCGGCTGGTGGGGACTGAGCCGCCTCCGGTCCTGTGAAGGCAGAGAAGTGCTCAGCGGGGACATTCCTTCCTCGGGGTGCTCCCGGCTTCCAGCCACCCAGGGCAGGGGTCAGGAGGCTAGGACAAAGGGCCCTGTGTTGACGGCTGGTCTTGGTGGGGGTGGGCATTCTCTTCTGGGTCATGTGGGACTTGGGATCCTGTGCCTGAGAAGTCATTTGCCCTGGAGCCCCACTCCCACGCTGGCTGTCCTCATCACATCCTTTCTTTCTGCCCATGGCCCCTGCGTCCACACACCTCCCTCTCCAGCCTCCTTTCCCACCCACTCTTCCTCCACAGGCCTCTCAATCCCCCGCAAGCTCTGTCTGTGGGAAACCTAGTTCCTCAGGCTACTGGGCGAGTCCCGCTTGTGGCTCCCTGCGCGGCCCCTCCCCCCTCCCCGGGGCCTCCCCAGGCCGGCCAGGCCAGAGATGTGTTATGAGAAGATGCAGGGCCTCCATGGGGGTTAATATTGACCGACTCTCCAGCAGTTGCTGACTGCACCTTCCATGTGGGTGCATGACTTTGGTGCATGACTTGGGGAACCTGAGAAGGGGGGCCGGTGGGCTGTGTGCTCTTGGTGCTGGTGGCGCCTCCACGCCTCCCTTCCGCTGGGGTTTTGTGGTGGGGGTGGCAGTGGGGCTGGGGAGGGAGGGCGGTGAACCACCGCAGTTCTGAGCAGCCAGGGTCAGAAGCAAGCCTGTTTGTTGGTTGGGCCTGGGCATTGGCCGAGGGGAGCCGCGCCCCAGCGCCCTTGAGAATGGTGTTCCTTTCCGAGAGCCAGCTTTGAGATGGCCCCGCGGGCAGCTGAGCTGGTGCTGGCTGAGCTGGGTCTGACTGCGCGCCCAGAGCAAGGTCGGGGGGACGTGGGGAAGCTGCGTTTGTCTGGGAGGGGCCCAGCCGAGAATCGGGCCAAAGCTGGAAGAGGTGGAGTGGCCGCCTGCGGCTGATCCTCCCCGACGGGGCCTGGGCCCGCCTCCCCGGCCGCCCGTCTGCCGTGGCCACCTCGCCCTCGTCTTTTCTCCCTCTTACCTACCCTCCCTGGGGTGGCTCCACAGGCTTCATGTAGAGGCTGCTTCCTGCTGCCCGGGTTTGATGGGGGCCGAGCACACGTGGCCCAGGAAACCCTTGCTGGGTGCCTGGGTCCTCTGCAGGGGCCAGTCCCTGTGCTTCACTCTGCGGCCGCCCCGACCAGCACAGAGGGCGGCTCTCAGGGCCCGAGGTCCAGCCCACCCCCTGCAGTGAGCGTCTTTCCTCACCTCTCCTCTTTCTTTCTTTTTTTCTTTCTTTTTCTCTCTCCTCCCCGCTGCCTTTTATCTTTCTCCTCCTCCAGACCAGCTCTTCGGCTGTGGCCTCGAACTCCCTGGGGCTGCTGCCCAGCTCAGCTCCGTCCTCACACCACATACTTCCTTCTCCTTCTCCCCCTCCTCCTCCTCCCGGGCCATCCATTCCTAAACCCTCCCCTCGAGGCCAGGGTCACACCCCAGAGGTCCTCGGCGTTGAGGATAATGCTAATGGAAAGGGCCTTTTGGCCCCAGTGGCCCCCAGTTGGCTTGATCTGGCTGGCCTGGGGGTGACAGCTGGTTTTGGGGTGACACCTGACACCCCCAACTCAAGGTCTTCCTCTGCAGAGGGTTCTCTGGGGCCATCTGGTGCAGAGAGCCAGGCTCAAGTGTGCAGGGACGTGCTAGCCCTCGCCAGTGAGCTCCCCAGGGCTCCCCCAGGCCCCACTCTACCCGGGGCTCAATGCACCAGTCCCCCGGAGCCTGGAGACCCCCAAGGGCTGTCGGCCAACCCCGCAAACCCAGAGGAGGCCTTGGCTGCCACGCGGGAGCAGCTGTGGGCTCTGGGGGCACTCAGGCCCGAGACTCCCTGCGGAGCTGTGCCCCGCCTCCAGGAAGTAGCCGAGCCAGCGCTCGTGGCCGTAGACCGTCAGGCCGTCTTCCCAGATACCTGGAGTCTCATGGAGGAAGGTGGACAGCTGAGGGCGAGGCCAGGGCCAGCGGGGCCGGGGAGCAGCCGCCCTGCCCCAGTCAGTGAGGCGCAGTTAGGTGGAGAGGCGCCCACGAGGGGAAGCCCGGTCAGGCCAGCCCAGGGGCCCAAGACACACCGGAGGCCAGAGGGCACTGCCGAAGCTGCCACCGAGGCCACGAGGGAGCGGCCGGAGCTTCCACAGGCTGTGGTCGTGGACGCCCCCAAGACCACCGAGAGGATCTCCACCTCTGGCCAGGCAGGCGCCAGCTTGCACGGCTGCTGGGCCTGGCCCCCGCCAGGCCTGAGTGTGGGCCGCTCCTGGCTAACTGCATGCTGCCTCCCAGTCTGCGCACGTCTGCCTGAGCGGCGAATCCTGAGATGCCCAGACCTGTGACCCTGACAACCAGGCCTTGGCCGTGGTGGTCTCTGTGGGACCAGGGGAGCTCCCTGGGCCTGGGAACCTCTCGTGGTGACAGCCCGCTTTTCGTTTAAGGCTTTTTCCTTTGGGTGAACGCCCCTGACACCCGAGGTCATGTGCTCGGAATGGTTAAAGGCATGGGCTTTGGGACCGCGTGGAACTGACCACAAACCCCGCCCCCCGACACTTGCTGTGTGTGTGTGTGACCTTGGGCAACCCCCCACCATCCTCAGTTTCTCATCTTTCAAATGAGGGTAATCATAGACCACTTTTCCCCAAGGTTGTCCCGGGGGTTAAATGAGATGATGCCTGGAATGTGCTTAGGACACAGCATGCAGTCCTCAGGACGCCAGGGCTGACGCTTACTGGTAGTATTTGCTTCTGGCTGGATTAAAACTTCGTGCCCTTTCCAAAAACAAAACAAAAAACCCAAAACCACTACAAACCAGTAGATTATAAACAAGAAGCAGTAACCCTGCAAGGCAGCCAAGAAAAGACTGTCACCCCATTTCAAGGATAGAGGAGCTGAGGTCCCTGCAAGTGAGTTGTCTTGCCCAAGGTCGGTGCCGACCTGGAGCTGAGCACCCAGAGTCTGCTCTGCCCCCCCGCCCCGCCTCCACCGCACCTCAGCTTGGCTCTTCTCTGGCGGTTTTGTTCGGCCTTCCCTTGCCCGGGTGCCTGCGTGTGGACTGAGCGGCACTGGCAGAGCCCAGAGTGGGGCCGTGACAGCTTCCCCCTCCCCCTCAGATCCGCTCCGTGATCAGGAGGAGCCGGGAGACGGGCCACGCGCACCCCATGTCCCGGGAGCCCTCCCCTCGCCGCCGGCTGGACCCCGCCACCCTGAGCAGGAACCCTTCCCAGGAGCGGCTCATCGCAGAGCTGCAGGGCCGGCTGGGCATCCAGCCGGAGGCAGAGGGGGCCGCGGGGGCCTGCGCCGAGGACTGGATGACGGAGGGCGTGGTCATCACCGTGCAGCCTCGAGGGCGGCGGGCTGAGGGGCAGCTGGTAGAGAAGGTAGCAGGGAGGCGCCCAGGGCCGGGCCTGCGGCAGGGCAGCTGGCGGCCTGATCCCTCCCCAGCTCTGGTCAGAGGGGAGCCTGGGGTGTGTCTGTGGGTGGGTCAGCGTGGGAAGGGCCTGGGGAAGCCTGGGGGTGTCACCTCCCCGCGCCCCCGCTTGCTGAGCTCGTGTTTCTTCCACCCTCATCTGTCTCCTTCTTTTCCTCCCCCAGGTGGTTTTTCCTCCCAGCTCTCCCATTCCCCTGAGAAGAACCTTTCCTGTTCTGCCTCCTCCTCCTCCTCCTGTCCCTTTGCTCCAGCACGGCAGGGATGCCGTGGCCAGCGGCTCTTCTCCCCCACCCAGCCTGCCCGCCCCCTCCGCCCCCTCCGCCCCGGGTCTCTCCGCGCTCCCCTGTCGGTCTCCCGGGGTCCAGAATGCCGGGGCGGGGCCGCAGGAAGATGGGCGGCGGCCCACCTCCCCGCTTCCTGCGCCCCGCACTGTGAGGTCCGTGGGCTGCCAGACCGACGAGGACCCGCTCTTCCCCCCGATGCAGGCAGGCCCCGGGGCCCCGCGTGAGCTTTGCCCTTCCCCCTTGGCACGCGTGCCCACACGAGCCCAGCGCAGCTCCCGGGTCCTCCCCGAGGCCTTTCTCTGACTGCGGACCCTCACTCAGCCCGGTGTCCCGCCCCCCCGGATGTCAGCGGGTGTCTTGCCTGCTCCTTCCTCCTGCCCCTTGGTCCTGCCTGGGGCCCATCTGAGGAAGCCAGGCCCAGAAGGGAAACCAAAAACCTGTTCCTCCCTGCAGTCCCCAGGCCGGAGCCTGGGAAGCCTCTTCTCCCTGGCCTCAGTCCCCTCCCCTCCCGGGGTCCCTGCCTTCGGTTGGCTCACCCTCCTCTCTCCCTGCTCTTCCTGGGACACTCGAGACTTTTCCTCCCGAGGTCGGTGCTGCCAGTGGGTGGGGGGTGGGGACCCTCTCACCCTCAACTCCCTTTTGTGGAGTGGTCCGATGGCACGGCCTCTGCTTCCTTCCTGAACTGAAGAAACAGGCTCACTCTCGTGTTCTCCCCCACTGAAGCCCCAGGGCCCGGAGCAAAGGGCAGACGGAGAGTTGTGCCGGGCGGCGGGCTGGCCTCCGAGCGGCAGGCAGAGCAGCCCCGAAGGGCGGCGCGAGGGAGGGGTCAGTGCCAAGGCCGGGGTCTCCGTGTCCCGCTTGCTGTGCTTCCCCGGCCTCGGTCGGGTCACTGTGGTGCCGTGAGCCTCTTGGACGCAGGGACGTCTTCCAGACGCCACCCCCGCCCCCAGGGCTCTCCAGTCCCCTGGCGTGGGCTGCACTTCACGCCTCCATTGGCCCACGTGTGCAGAGGGGAGAAGACCCCCCTGGCCCTGATCCGTCCTTTCTCTGTCTCCACAGTTCATGTCCCAGGGGAAGACGGGGAGCAGCTCTCCCCCCGGGGGACCCCCAAAGCCCGGGAGCCAGCTAGACAGCATGCTGGGGAGCCTGCAGTCCGACCTGAACAAACTGGGTGTCGCCACGGTCGCCAAAGGGGTCTGCGGGGCCTGCAAGAAGCCCATCGCGGGGCAGGTGATGTGGGGCGGGGGCAGGGCAGGGCAGGGCAGGGTGCTCCGAGTCTGGCCAGGGCCTCCTCCGGTCACACCCGGCCTCCCTCCTCAGGTGGTGACGGCCATGGGGAAGACGTGGCACCCCGAGCACTTCGTGTGCACCCACTGCCAGGAGGAGATCGGGTCCCGGAACTTCTTCGAGCGGGACGGGCAGCCCTACTGTGAAAAGGACTACCACACCCTCTTCTCCCCGCGCTGCTACTACTGCAACGGCCCCATCCTGGATGTGAGTCCCGGGCCGGCCGCAGGGGCGGTGCCAGCTCGTCACAGCGCTGCAGTCACCCTCTCAGAGGGTGCGGGGGGTGCTCTCTGAGGCTCACCCAGGTCCTGTCACACGCCCGGGCTCCCACGGCTAGGAAGTGGTGGGGCTGGGAGTCAAACCCAGGCCCGACCCACAGGGGCCCTAATGCAGGTCAGGCCCCCCACCTCCCGTCTCCCGCCCTTTCGGGGCTCCCTCCTGCGGAGACCGAGAGGCTGGGAGCCCTGCCGGGATCCAGGGGGTGCAGAGCTGGCTCCCCCTCTCCCGCTGGGTCCTGACACGGAAACGCCCAGCCGCGCTGAGCCTGGGTTTTTTCACATAAAGTGATGGACACAGTCGGACCTGTGACCCCCCCACCCCCCCGTGTGGAGCCTCAGTGGGGACAGAGGAGAAGGTGTCTGGCATGTCATCTCCTTCAGTAAATCCGAGCTCTCAGTGGTACTCAGAGTGCAGTGAGGGGAGACCCCCATCTGGGCGACCTTTGCCCTTTCCTGGGCTGGGGGGGCGGGGCGACTCCCCGAGGCGAGCCTTGCGGGGGAGTCTCCGTGGTGGGACCCGCCCAGCGGGCCGGCGGCTCGACTCTGACCCCGCCCTTGGCTTTCGCAGAAAGTGGTGACAGCCCTGGACCGGACGTGGCACCCCGAGCACTTCTTCTGCGCCCAGTGTGGCGCCTTCTTCGGGCCCGAAGGTACCGAGCAGCGGCAGGGGCGGGGCGGGCCGACTCGCTGCCCTGGCGCCTCGGGGAGGGGGGCGTTGCTGGTGTTGGAGCTGGGGGGCTCCGCCCGTGGAGGCCCTGACCCCGCCCCCGCCCCCGCCCCCCAGGCTTCCACGAGAAGGACGGCAAGGCCTACTGCCGGAAGGATTACTTCGACATGTTCGCGCCCAAGTGTGGCGGCTGTGCCCGGGCCATCCTGGAGAACTACATCTCGGCGCTCAACACCCTCTGGCATCCCGAGTGCTTCGTGTGCCGGGTGAGCAGCCGCCCCCGCGCCGCCCCCTCCCCCTCCCTCTGCATCTGAGGGCCCCGGCGGTGGGGACAGAAGGCCCCCCCCCCCCGCTGTGCTCTCTGGCCCAATTTGGAGGCCTTGTTTGCGGTTATTAATGGGGTGGGCAGGCAGGGGCTACGCTTGCGCAGGTCCAGGGGGGCCTGGGCCAGGGCTTGTCCTGAGGCTGGGAGAGGCCGGCAGAGCAAGGCAGCTGTGTCCGCAGCCTCGGCCCGTGTGGCGGCCCCTCCTGTTCAGGAGAAGGCACGTGAGAACTAAATGAGATAATGCAAGCATTTCCCAATCTCAGCAGAATCGGCCATTGGTTTTCAAACTGAAATCTGGGGGGTAATTGGGGGGGGCATAAAGGTTATTGGGGATCCAGCAAGGGCCGGCTGACCAGACGAGTTTGGGAGACGCTGTCCACTGCAGGACGTCTCGGGGCCTGGTATGCCCGAGTGGGCGTGTGCATCTCCACACAGGAGGGCAGGGGCGGAGTCTGACCTCGGAACCCTTCTTGCTGCCCCAGGGCTTCAGGCTCCCGTCTTGGAGCCCCGGAGTCAGACCCCCGGAGTCAGCCCTGGAGTCAGACCTGTGTCTCCAAGTCCAGGCTGCACAGCTTACTAGCTGCATGACCTTGGGCAAGTCCCTTAACGTGCGGGCTGGAGTTGCCTCCCCTGTTGGGAGACTTACGTTACGTTTAGCGCTGCGCTTGGCGCGGAGGGATGGCTCCCCAAGTGCGAGAGAGAAACGGCCAAGGCTGTCTCCCGCCCATCGAGCAGCCCATAGCACGGGGCGCTGCCTCAGCCCCGCCCCCCCACCCCGCCGCAGGCTGAGCCCTCTTTCCTCCGCCTCCCCGCTTCCTCCCGGCAGGAATGCTTCACGCCCTTCGTCAACGGCAGCTTCTTCGAGCACGACGGGCAGCCCTACTGCGAGGTGCACTACCACGAGCGGCGCGGCTCGCTGTGCTCCGGCTGCCAGAAGCCCATCACGGGCCGCTGCATCACCGCCATGGCCAAGAAGTTCCACCCGGAGCACTTCGTCTGTGCCTTCTGCCTCAAGCAGCTCAACAAGGGCACCTTCAAGGAGCAGAACGACAAGCCTTACTGTCAGAACTGCTTCCTCAAGCTCTTCTGCTAGGTGCCCTCGTCCCTGCATCCGCCCCGCCCCCCGGCCCAGCCTCCCCAACTGCTACTGTGACCCAGAGGCCTCTCCCAGGCGTGAAGGGCCAAGCCCGACTGAAACTGGAACCCGTGTCCTCGGCTGTGCAGGGTGGCAGGGGGGCCTCAAAGGGCTCCACCTGCTTTCTTTCCCTCTGCCGGAGCCTCTGGGCCTCTCACTCCTCCTGCAGCTGCCCCCGGCTGCCGGCTCTTCCTCCTCCTCCCGGAGACCCGGTTTGCAGGGCCCCGCCCACAGACCCGCCCGGCCAGGCAGGGCCAGCACCCGCAGTGGGAGCCACCTCTTACTCCTATTTCGGCAGCGGAGCCGGGGGTAGGGCAGGCAGCCCCCTTTGTGGGGGAGGGCCGATGGGGTCTCTTTTTATCTCTTTCCCTCTGACCAAATCATCCTTCTTCTGAGAGTATCGGGGGACACTGCTCCCTCCAGACCATGCCAGCATAAGTCCGTCCGTCCGAGGGTCGAAGTGCCCCGGGACGGGGGCCGCGGAGGGTTCCTCGTGCTCCTCCTGCCGTTCCAGTCTCCCCAGGCCTGGACGACGGCCCCCCACCCTCCGCAACTGCTCAGATTCTACTGAGACAGGCTTCTCCAGCAATAATGTTTTCTAGTCACTTCCTCCGTCCCTGGGGACGGCGTGGGCGGGGCGTTTCACCTCGTGCCTGGACACTGTACCGACTTTGATAGATTTCTACACTGAGGTTTGAATTCATATCGTCCGAGTTGCTTTTACTTCCCTGTCCAAATGATTTTGAAGAGATTTTAAAGACATCATCCCCTTTTTGTAATCCCCTCCTCGTCCGTCGCCACCGGTGCTGTGGGCGACAGTGGCAGTGGGCCGGGGTGTGCCTCGTTGTACTGAGGGCTGGGGGCGGGGAAGCCATTTGTATTTTGTTTTTTCTCAGCATAAGCAGGTGAAGCGGGAGCGGCCCTGAGGCTCCCCTCCCTTCACTTCATGGCTCACCAGGACTGTTTTATAAACTGCTGTATTTTGAAACCCCTTCCTTACCACCCAGGCCAGCGAGCTCTTAACTGAAACTGGCCTAAGGGTGTCTTGCCCTTCTGAGCCTAGGATTGTTGAACCTCATCCATCAAGTTCCTGAGGGAGGAGAAGGGGGAAGTATAATACTTTGGGGGTGCTGTTTTCGTCTAAGCCATTAGGAGCGTCTGTTCCCCTGTGACCTAAGGAACCCACCGAACATTCTTGGCCTCCTCGCCACTTCTGCGCGGCTCCTTCCTCCTCCTCGGGAAAGCTGGTGTCTAACCCTGAACGTTGGTCTTGTTGATTCCACTGGGCGTCTCTTCCCCCAAGGTTCCTGCCCTCCTTGGAAACCGGAGGTCTGGGGAATGGGGCCCAGGTTGTTGCGAGGGAGCGTGATAGGATTCCGGGCAGACGGCCAGGATCCCGCTGAAGCCATGGGAAGCCCCTGGAGCTTTCTCCGCTGAGGATGAGGCCGCAACCGGCAGGCCCGGGGTTCCTGGTCAGCAGAGAGGGGCCCCGGTGGGGTCTAAAGTGAGGACAATCCAGACTACTCTGCTAGCCTCCCGGCAGAGGCCGAGTGCGCTGGGCTCTCTGGGGAGGTCAGCCAGGCCCCTCCAAAGGTCCGACGTCTCCACTTCTACCCATAGGCCTTACTGCTCAGTTTACAATGACCCACCCAGACCCCTCCCCTAGAGGAACGGGTTTCTGCGGTCCACCCTCTGGGTCACTGGTTATTTGACGATGTGATTTTAATTTTTTTTTCTCTGTAAACTTTTAACCTGGCTCTTCCCCATTTCAATTCCTGTGATTTATGCCAATAAAGTTTGCCATTATTTTGACCTGTGCTCGTCGTGCCTTTTCCTTGTGGTTTGAGATAACAGCTCAGTCCCAGAAGAGAAACCGTAGTCCCAAAAGGGAAACCAAACCGTCCCAGGCTCACAAGGACAGTGTTCTCTTACTTGAAGCAGAAAGCCCCGGGGTTGGGACCCCTGCCTCAGGGACTCTCGTCTGTGAGTGCAGGTCCTCCGGGTGGCCAGGGAAGGCTGAGGAACAGCTCTGTTCCGCCCTGCCTGGATTCCCCAAGGGCATCCTCACAGGAGCCTGTGTGTGGTCTTACACTCATTTGCAGATGGGGAAAGAGGTTCAGGGAGAACCAACATGCAGCAGGCGATCTGAGCAATGCAGAGACAAGATGTATGAACCTAAGGCTTGCCTCTGCCTGTGTTCTTGATTGACGGCTCAACCCCCACCACGGGCTGGCACAACACCCCGGTGTAGAACCCTCCTGGGTGAAGGGGGCAGACTAACAGTTGGCGATTGGGCCGTACTGCCCCCTGGTGGTCATGTTTATATTTGCAGGCTCCCCCGCGCTTAGCCAGAATTTAGCCTGCTCCCTCTGCCCCACCTCCTCCTCTGGTCACACCCCACCCCTGGCCTCCTGGAGAGCTTCCTGAACAGCTTTGTTCCTTCTTCAGCTGTGGCTTCAGTTTCCCTGTTTGGAATGTCCCTCCAAATGCCGCAGGTTGAATTCTAGTCTGAACCCCGCCCATTTCACAGTGAGCTCAGAAGTGAAAATTACCTTCAACTTTCAACCAAAAACAATGACTTGGCTTATTCTTCCAGCCCATGTTGCATTTATTTTATTTATAGAAATGGATATAGTACAATGCCTCGTAATTTGCTTCTTCACTCAAGTGTCCCCTGTGAGTATTTTCCCGTGCCAATAAATACAGATCTGCATTTTTTAATGGTTTCATGGCATTGCACTATATTGATGTACTGAAATTAGAAGTACTTAAATCAGCAGAGCTGGGATGTCCTTGGGAAGGTATCTGTGAGTATGTATATACCTGGAAAGGTGTGTTTAGAGGGAGACAGTCTCAGGGTCTAGAAGGGACTTGAGCATAGTGAGGCCCATGGGCTTTGAACTTGCTCCTAGATTTAAGTTCTGAAGCCATCATTAGCTGACTGAGGCACTTGGGCAAACTATTTAACCTCTCTGAATTTTCTCAGCAATAAAATGGAAATACTACAACGGTGCCTCTGGAGGGGGTTGTTGCAAAGACTAACAAACTGTAGTATGCACAAAGCACCTGGCACAATGCTGAGCATGAAGTAATGCCTCGCTGTTCGTAAAGGATCTTAGCAGAAATCAACTCCAGCATCTCTCTACACTGGCTTGTCACAAAATAGAGATTTCTAACTTGGTAAGTGCAAAGGGTAAAGATAGGGAGAAACACCCCTTTTGCTGTAGCATCTAAGCTCATTTATTGAAAAACAATTTAAATAATATTTATTTATTAAAAAGGATTTTATTTATTTCTAGAGAGAGAGGAAGGGAGGGGGAGAGAGTGAGAAAAACATCAGTCCGTTGCCTCTTCATGCCCCCCACTGGGGGCAGGCAGAAATCCAGGCAGTGTGTCCTGACTGGGGTAGAACCCAGGGTCCTTTGGGTTTGCAGGAGAAAGACCAATTCACTGAGCCACACCAGTTAGGTTTTTAAATTTTTTAGAGAGAGGGAAGGGAGAAAGAGAAGGAGAGAAACATCGATGTGAGAGAGAAACAGATTGGTTGCCTTCTCCTACACATCCTGACCAGGCCACCAACCCAGACATGTGTCCTGATCAGGAATCGAACTGGTGACCTTTCGCTTTTCAGGATAATGCCCAACCAACTGAGCCACACTGGTCAGAGCTAAAAGTATATTTATCGAGGTACTACATTTGTTCAAGTAAGTGTTAGACGAATGTATAATAAAAGAAGCTGACATTTTGTGGTAACAATGTTACTACAGTGTTCCTCCTGCATTGCAGGAACTGTTAAGTCTTAACAAATATCTCATGAAATGCCCATAACTCTAGAATGTGGATACTATTACCCTATTCTACAGATAAGTAATGAGAAACAGAGTCAGCAAGGTGAAGCCACTTCCCAAGATGACATAGATGGGAACTAACAGAAAGCAGAGATCCTGGCCACATGACTGCAAACCCTGCATTCATACGTTGAGCAAATATTTATCACATGCCTACAGTGTGCTAGGCACAAGGCAAAAAATTCTGCCTTGTGACCCTGGCCAAGTGGTTCAGTTGGTTGGAATGTCTTCCTGTACACGCTAAAAGGTCGCCAATTCCATCCCTGGTCAGGGCACATACCTTGGTTGAGGGTTGATACCTGGCTGGGGTGCATAAGGGAGGTAATCAATCGATTGATGTTTCTCTCTCAGATTGAGGTTTCCTTCTCTCTCTCTCCCTAAAAAAAAAAAAATCAATAAATATATCCTCGGGTGAGGATTTAAAGAAACAAATCTGTCTTGCAGAGCTTGCATTCTTGCAGGGAGAGACATTCAAAGAACAATGTAATAAATTATATAGTGGTTAGAAAGCATAAGTGCTACTGAAAAAAAAAACAGAACAGAGTAAGGGGGGAGAAGGAGTGAGTTATTTTTTATTTTTTTGTAATTTTAAATAGGGCTATCAGAGTGGGCCTGGTTAAGCAGGTGATAGTTGAGCCAAGTCTTGATGGAGGATGGTGGATACCCGCTAGGAGCCTTCCAGGAAGACGGAATAACGGGTGCAAGAGCCCTAAAATGGGCAGGAAAATAGGAGATGCAGTTACAGGGGTAGAGGTTGGGGGTGACGATGTAGGCCAGTTAGGGCTTTTACTTTGTGGGAAATGGGGAGTTTTTGAAGAATTTTGAGCAGTTGAGGAAACGATCTGTTTTTAAATCATCCCTCTGCTTTTGTAGGGGGAAGAACAAACTGAAGAGGGGACAGAGACCATTCTCTTTCTAAGGCACGTGCAACTCTTTCGCAGCTCCGCGTTATACTCTAGTTTGCGACAAGGCAGGTGCCGCGGGAAACGTGAAGGTCACAAATTCTCGCGCCTACACACAGCAGCTCCCGCCCAGCAGAGGGAAGCAGCTCTGAGGTTTCTGCAACAATAGGAACTCTTTCTTAACTTCCGTCTTTTGGGCGGCTTCCGGTAGGCTGGCTGGCAGAGATATCATCCAATGGCTGGCAGCGATATCACCCAATGGCTGTCTACGTCAGTTGTACTTCGCCAGCCAACAGGTGGGAGCGCTGTCTGAGGCTTCTGATTGGTCACTTTGTTCGCCTATAAATACTGCTCTTGGTGTAGGGCCTTCCTCTCTCCAGGCGTCCTCGTGAGAGGTTCGTGCGTTGCCAAATGGCTTCGGGGGACTGGCTGCGGGAAGGATGGGTGTTTTCGCGGGCAGGTTTGGAGCCCGCGGGGTCCAGTCCTGTGTGGCTTGGGGCTTCGGCAGCGGCTCGCGCTCTCCAAGTGGTGGCCGCGGCAACGCGGGCCAGGCCGGCGGGCACTCTCGCGTGGCCGAGTAGGCCTCTGGCTTTGAGTTCGGCGGGGCGGTATGGGGACGGGTGTCGGAGTTTCTGAGCTCCCTCTCTCTCCTCAGTGACATCGTCTTTAAACCCTGCGTGGCAATCCCTGACGCACCGCCGTGATGCCCAGGGAAGACAGGGCGACCTGGAAGTCCAACTACTTCCTTAAGATCATCGTAAGTGCGGGGTGGGTCGAGGCGCCCAAGGTGCTGCCTGCGCCGCGGGCTAATAGGGACAAATCAGCGGCTGAATTGGGCCGTGTTGGGCAAATCTCATTTAATCTAATGAATTTACAAAGAAATGCCTGCCACCCTTGCATGCGTACCTGCTGTTGCAGATAAACAGGCTCAGGCGGTTTTAGTGCCCCCTGAGATAGAACTAAGTGGAATCCAGTCCCAGGTTTGTTATTCAAACAGCGCTCATCATAGTTTTTTTACTCCTCTCCTTCCGACTTTGGGACGGTGTGAGGCAGTGAGGGCCTCAGTCTAAAAAGGCAAGTTGCTGCATATTTAGGTCTTGTTGGTCAAGACACTCACTTAGTTTTTGAAGTAAGTGGGCCCTCCCTACCCAGAAATTCTGACAACGCTGCTGCCGGAAGTGGAGCTTAGTCTATGTTCTTGCCCATTTGTCATGAAGGTTTTCAGACACAGTGCCGATTTAGCAGGACCTAGATTCTACAAGTCAGTTCTTATGGTATTTGCTTTGCGTTGTGTTTTGAAAGCTGTGAATCCAGCCTTACTTGGAACAGGTTTTTTATTTTCTCTTTAAGCTGTTTAAGTGAATCAGAGACAGATCTTCAAGTTGGGAAAAGGTAAAAAATGAGGCCTAAATTAAAATTTTTCTGGTTGAATGTACAAACCCCCATCTTTGACAAATCTGGCTGTGTTACAGTTCAGGTGGCTCCCAGTGGGAGGTGTCAGCCCGCATCTGAGTCACTTCAAAAGCATAGAGGAAAGGGAGGGAGATGGAAACCAGTCCTCGTGGGGTTTGGTTTCTCCTGTTTTTTTCTCCTTTCTTCCACTTGACTTGTGTCTGGCTGCTTTTTGTAGCAACTTCTGGATGATTATCCAAAATGCTTCATTGTGGGAGCGGACAATGTGGGCTCCAAGCAGATGCAGCAGATCCGCATGTCCCTCCGCGGGAAGGCTGTGGTGCTGATGGGCAAGAACACCATGATGCGCAAGGCCATCCGAGGGCACCTGGAAAACAACCCTGCTCTGGAGAAGTCAGTGAATGCTCTGTTTTCCTCTGTGCCCTTCTCCCTTGTCCTGGGGAAGAATGGTGCTGAAAGTTGACCTGTCTGTGAACTTTTCTTTGTAGACTGTTGCCTCATATCCGGGGAAATGTGGGCTTCGTGTTCACTAAGGAGGACCTCACGGAGATCAGGGACATGCTGCTGGCCAATAAGGTAAGAGGAGAATCGGGTTGGCTTAAGAGACATCATCAATTTTGGTTCCTTCAAAGCAAAACTGGGCGGGGGCGGGCT